AGTGTTGCAGACGGAGCATGAAGTTGCCCTCATTCGTCAACGTTTGCTCAGAGCTTCGCTCGAATCCATTGCCTGTGAGAAGGAAAAGAAGGCTCCCCGAAGGCTCTGTAAGCCCCCCAGGGTTTCACCTCCTGCCCCAGCCACGGTGGCCCTTTTTTGCACGGCACATAGGATCTCGGAGTGTGGAAAAAGGTGCCTTGTCTGTAGGGGATCCACGACTGTGGCTGGGAAGAAAGAGTTTCTCGAGTCAGCGTGTTTCCAGCCTGAGCTTCAGTCAACGGGGATTCTGAGGGTTCCTCGGGGGCAGCGTCTGCATCTCGCTGGGGGGTGGGTCCACAGCTCTCACCAAATGTTTTATCATGAATCCCTGTCCGTATGGTATTGTGCGGCCTGTGGGTGCTACCATCAGCAGCAGCTCCGAGGATTGGCTGATGAGTGTATGGCCCCCCCAAGAGCCCCACTTACCAAAGCACGGCGAGAACATCTCGACCGTCTTTCAAGAGGTCTCATGCCCAAAGTTCTCAGCAGAGCTGAGAAGGCGGCCATATCCTCCTAATCTATTGAACTCGCTTCGCGATCGGTCTTATATTATCTTATCTTACCTCCCTCCTCCCTCCTCCCTCCTCCCTCCTCCCTCCTCCTCCTCCTCCTCCTCCTCCTCCTCCTCCTCCTCCTCCTCTCCCCTCCTCCTCCCTCCTCCCTCCTCCCTCCTCCCTCCTCCCTCCTCCCTCCTCCCTCCTCTCCTCCCTCCTCCCTCCTCCCCTCCTCCCTCCTCCTCCTGCTTCTCTGCTCCTTCTGCTCCTTCTGCTCCTCCTCCCCTCCTCCTCCTCCTCCTCCTCCTCCTCCCTCCTCCCTCCTCCCTCCTCCCCTCCCCTCCCCCTCCTCCCTCCTCCCTCCGCCCTCCTCCCTCCTCCCTCCTCCTCCTCCTCCCTCCTCCTCCTCCTCCGACTTTTCCCAGGGCCTGCTTTTCTTCCCCTTGGTAACCACCACGGGGATTCACCCGCGCGACACGACACGGGCGTCCACGAGCCACCGGCTCTCGATCTGGAGGGGCTCACACCCAGCCCTGGGAGCAACACGTGGGCTTTGGACGACACATCATCCCCGACTGCTGTTTCTTTTGGTTTTCTTTTTTACTATCTTTGAATATTCCTCCTGTAGAGGAACAGGCCCGAATGACCATAGGAGCAACACATAGAAACCTGGTAGCCTGTTCGGGAAACGACGGCAACGTTTGCTCCGCGAGCCTCCTGTCTCCAACCTGTCCGCGGAGGGCCCGAGAAAAGGACGCAGGAGCATCGAACAACCCGGGTCCGCGACCGTCACCGCCCTCACATATATTCCTCATTCGATTCCCTGGATCACCGCGGGGGTTGTTAAGAGAACGAGGGGATGCTTAACTACTGGATGCTACGTTTGGTCAGATCTTGCCTAATCTAACTTATCTAGGGGTTACAGGCGCCCTGACCGGGTCACCTGTAAGTCACTTGTTGACCAAGATAGACCAGACTTAACCCACCTTGGCTTCCACTTTTGTCCCCCTCTATCATCTCAACAAATCCCCCGTGGAGATCCAAGTCCGACCCCAGATCCGTGACAAACCTGGTCCGGGGGTCCCTGGAGTCCACCTTGGCCGCTTCTCCATCCCGGATGAACTTCCAACGGCCATAGGGTCCGAAACGGGCCCCCAGGTCTCGAAGTCGAGGCGCGGCGCGACGCGCCCCCTCCCACTCTTCCTCGTCGTCCTCTTCTCTTCCCCGAGAAGGAGCAGGAGGAAATGAGGGGAGAGAGAGAGAGAGAGAGGGAGAGAGAGAAGAGGCGCATGAGCAGGAGACAGGAGGCCCGAGGAGGAGGAGGAGGAGGAGGAGCGTGATCCAGGCAACGCCAAGGGAAGGCCAGCTGGGGGTCCTCACCTCGTCGAGGAGGTCATCTCGGGACCCCAACCACCTCCGGAACCTGCCTACGATAACCCAAACCATAGAGGGGTCCGGCTGTTGTTCCGCTCTCATCCCCGGCAAATATCTGGGTTGCAAAGAACGGGCCGATTTTTTATCTACAGCCCCATTCGGAGACATGTGAAAACCTGCCTTCAAAGTAATCCAGGTCGCTCAAAAGCCGCTCTCGATCCACGAGCCTCGAGCCTCAGAAAGAGCACGCCGACCTCCTCTCGCAGCAATATCGGTCAGAACGGCGTCGGGAAATCGGATCGGATCGGACCGAACACCAGATCCTCTCTTCCCAATAAGGCCTGCCCGAGGGGATCCTACTTGGTTTGGTGCCTCGGAGGCTTACGTTGCCCGTTCCTCAGAGATTCCTCGGGTTCTCCGGGTTCCCCCATTTTTCCTGGCCCAGGACCGACGCTTGTTTTTCTTCATCGTTTGTAACCGAAGAATCCGCCACCCCGCACGGGGTAATGAGCGGAAGCGACAGCAACATAGACGACCTCATTGAGATCGTCATACGGGAGGCGCCTGGCACGCGACTTCTCCGCGCCCCTCTTGACCCAGCGGGGGAGAGCAGTTCCTGAGCTCCCCCCCCCTCGGTGCCTCCGATTCTTACGCTGCCCGTTGCCCAGAGGTTCCCCAGGCTCCCTGGCCCAGCGCCTCGTGCCGAGCCATACCAAGCAGTGCTGAGCAGAATACTGCGCAGCGCGAAAAACTGCGAAGCAATGCCAGGCAGTGCCACTCAGTTTCCAGGCAATGCCAAGCAATGCCGAGCTACGCCAAGCAATGCCAAACACTGCGCCCATGCAGTAGGCAGCTTCCCCTAATCGGGGTCGCACTGGGTTCATTTGGAGGAAGAAGATGGGAGCGGACATCGAAGGGTCCGCTGCCATCAAGGTGGCCACCACCGCAACGGAAGAATCGGATCCCGCTGCATCGGCTCGGAGTCCACATCGCATCGGATCGGCCGCGCCCGGATGCAGGATGCACTCTTTTCACGAGCGCGAGGGCTGCTTTTCGGCAGAGAGGAGGGGGGGGATGGGGGGGGGGCCAAAAACGAGGGGGAATGGAGGAACGGGGGGGGGAGTGGCGCGGCGGGAGCGCCTAGCGGGCAGCATCGGATCGCCGGTATGTCGGAACGTGGGGTCGGATCGGGCTGGCCCAAATCGAGATCGAATCGGATCGATCGGATCGATATGGGGCCCCGTACTGGCGACCCCCGCTGCCAGTGCTTGGTGGCGAGCGAGGGGAGCTAATGAGACCTTCTGAGAAGGCCTTCTCCTTCTCACTTCCCCCCCCCCTCCTCCTCCTCCTCCTCCTCCTCCTCCTCCTCCTCCTCCTCCTCCTCCTCCTCCTCTCCTCCTCCTCCTTCCCCCTCCTCCTCCTCCTCCTCCTCCTCCTCCTCCTCCTCCTCCTCCTCCTCCTCCTCCCCCTCCTCCTCCTTCTTCCTCCTCCTCCCCCTCCTCCTCCTCTCCTCCTCCTCCCTCCTCCTCCTCCTCCTCCTCCCCTCTCCTCCTCCTCCTCCACAATTACACAATATGAAAATACTCTCCCACTTCCCCTGATGGCGTCCGGAAGATATTCGGCACCCCCCCGCGTACTGTTTTTTTACACACAGGATTCCCCGGAGTTGGGTTTTCGCTTGTGTTTTTTTCTAAAATGCTGCTCTCGCTGAGGCGCCGGCCTCATTTCTGCTCCCGAATCGTTCCGAATCGTGCTCCCGCTGCAGCGTGGGCCTCATTTTCGGATCGGTGTTTGGCCTCCGTCGTTCAGGATGGCGTTCTCGCCCCAGCGCGGGCCTCTTTCTCGCGCGCCCATCCGCCCGCCACCACCGCGCCGCACCACCACCACCACCACCACCACCACCACCACCACCACCACCACCACCACCACCACCACCACCACCACCACCAGCACACCACACCACCACCACCAACCACCACCACCACCACACCACACCACCACCACCACCACCACCACCACAACCACGCACACACGCACGCACGCACGCACGCGCACCACCACCCACTACGCACGCGCGCGCGGAGCCACAGGTCCGCTACGACACGCGTCCGCGGATAGAGAAAATCAGCGCCATGGTAAGGGATGGGAGGGAGGGGTAGGACGTCAGATATGACGCGAGCGCACCTAGCTTGTCCCCCTCCCCCTCCCCCTCCCCCTCCTCCTCCTCCTCCTCCTCCTCCTCCTCCTCCTCCTCAGCCATTCCTCTCGGGGAGGGGGGCCGCGCCGCCCGGGACCCTGCCCCGAGGTCCGCCGGCCAACTTGGGAGTGGCCCTGCCGGCGGGGGCCAGATGCAATGTGCAGGGGGGGCGTCTCGCATTGCCGTTTGCGGTGCGAGGCAGCGAATGCGATGGGCTGGAGGTGTTGCTTTTACCGTGCTCCCTCAAGAATAAGTCCCCCGTGTCCGTGACGGGCGACGCGCAGGCCAGCATGCGGACGGTCGACGAGGCACGGGGGGGCCCACAGTGGGACATAGGAGTCTAAACTGCTGTGGGGTGGCGGTGGTGAAGATGACCGATTCGGCAGTTCACCTAGATGTACACGTTCACGGAAGCCGCCCAGTACATCGGGCCCGTGTTTCTGTGCTAATGTCCGTTTTTCAGGAGATGGGGGGAGCCTGGTAGTGCACTGACCCACCCGCCTGAGGGCTCATGCATGGATTACACTTTACCTTTCTCTTTCAATGCATTGGATTGGGCTGTGTTCGTATACTTTTCAGCGTACATTTGGTCACGCAGCGCCAGCATAGTCTGAAAAGGAGCGCACTCGCCTTCGGCTAGTTGGCTTGGGCGCAAGATTATCGACACTGGTGGGCAATCACTCATTGTTCATTGGTGGCTCTGCAGTGCACAGTGCTTTGTGGAGTACGTGACGTACATGTTGTACACCATCCTCTGAGGCTCTAAGCACGCTCGGCCCTCAGGAGGTTATAGGAGAATCCAGGAGAATCCTCCTCCTCCTCCTCCTTCGCTCGCCGCCGAACTGCCCGAACGGGGAGGAGAGAAGACGGGCCGCGCGGAGGGCGCGGGACGGCACCGCGCTCGGGTTCACGTGGAGCTGGCCGAGGTAGTCCTGGGGGGCGAACACCTGGCCGGCGACCAGGGAGGCCTGCCGGCGAGCGCGGGGCGCGGTGCTGCCTGTTCTCGATTCTCCTTCCATGGAAGGCCTTCTCCTTCTCAATTCCCCCCCTCGCTCGCCTCCGATGATTATCGAAGAAGAAAACAACACACAAACATAAACTCTTGGCGCTCCGAGCGGATTTCTTGAATTCGCGCTGGACCCCCCTCCCTGGCGCGCGGAGCGCGCCAGGGGCGGCGTCGGAGGCGCCGCGGGGGGGCCCAGGCGCGGATCCAACAAATCCGTACGGAGCGCAAGCAGTTTATGTTTATGTGTTTTTGTTCTTCTTCGATGTGCATCGGAGGCGAGCGAGAGGGGGAATTGAGAAGGAGAAGGCCTTCTCAGAAGGCGGCGGGACTTCTCAGAAGCCCTCGCGCCTTTTAAGAAGTTTTCTCGTCTTCTGACAAGGCTCAGGAAACTTCTCAGAAGGCCAGGGGACTTCCGAACCTTCTGAGAAGACCTTCTCCTTCTCACTTCCCCCTCTCGCTCGCCGCCGGATAAAGCCGTGCCTGGCCAGCCAGAACTGGCAGTTGAATGTTGTTTGGCGCGCGGTCATGCTTACCCTTGGCGAACCAAGGCGCGAGCTGAGATATCGACGCATGCGTGCAAGGCCTGCGCCTCAGTGTCGAAGGAGACCATCGCCACATCGTCATCCAGATGCGCCCTCTTTGCCTACCTTTGCCTACACGCCTGCTGCGCGGTTTACCTAGCTGCGCTCTCGCCACCCGCCGCGCAACCCTGCCGCGGTCAGACCCCAGCGCATGATTAGAGCCAGTTGCGCACCGTTGCGCAGCCTTACCGCGCAACCTGGCCGCGGCCGGACCAAATAAGAGCCTCCCCCAGCATGCAAGCATCGCTCATCTGCGAATGTGCGTATCTGTGGATTGAGCAGGGACCGATCGTCCCGGCATTTCTGTAGGCCTACCACGACATGTTCTTAGAACCCAGGAATGTTCTAATATCACAAACAATTTTCTTAGAACATAAGCCCGATGTGATACAACAAGACAGTCCCAGTCAGAAACGTTCTAAGACCATTTCGTGCAAACCACAACAGGTTCTTAGAACATTGTTTGGTAGGCCGATTGGCGAACCAGCACTTTTCGCCACTGCTTGAGTGGATCCCTGCCCCATCTTCTGACGGGCCGGCTGCGCGCGCTCGTCGTTTGCTCCCTGACCGATCGTCTTCGCCTCGCCGCTGCGCGCGAGGCCACGAGTGTCAACAAGTGTGTGTGTGTGTGTTGTGTGTGTGTGTTGTGTGTGTCGTGTGTGTGTGTGTGTGTGTGTCGTGTGTGTGTTGTGTGTGTGTTGTGTGTGTTGTGTGTGTGTGTCGTGTGTGTGTGGCATTGTCTGTGCCTGTTACGAATGTGGAACCTACGTTTAGGTCGGGCATGTCTTCCTACAGACGGATTTTGGAGGAGACAAAGTAAAACATAGTCAAAACAATACTCAACAGTGGCCAAACATAATCAAACAGTCGGGCCCAGCCTATTTCCTGACTGCTTTTGAAGATTCCTCCTGTAGAGGGACAGGCCCGACTTTAACCTACGTTGGGTGGAGCCCCTCGATGATAGGCCCATTTTCGACCACCACTACCACTGGTAGCAGAGGGAGCAGGAGGAGGGGGAGGAGGAGGAGGAGGAGGAGGCGGAGGAGGAGAAGGAGGAGGCGGAGGATGGGGAGGAGGAGGGGGAGGGGGAGGAGGAGGAGGAGGAGGAAGAGGAAGAGGATGAGGAGGAGGTCCTCCCCACTCTCCCTTCTCCTCTGCCTCACCTGTGGTCGTGGTGGTGGTTCATCGGCCCACCGCTCGGGCCAAGCCGCCGCGTGATCTGCCGCGCGGAGGAGGAAGAGGAAGAGGACAGCGCGCAGCCCCCCGCCGCGCAGCGGCACCGCGCGCAGCGGCACCGCGCGCGGCGGCACCGAGCACGGCTGCCTCGGGCTCGCGCCGTGCCGATCCCAATCGCGGGCAAATCTTCACACCGCCGCGACCATAGGTATAGGCTACGGGCGAGAAGGGAGGATGATGAGGTCCTCCTCCTCCTCCTCCTCCTCCTCCTCCTCCTCCTCCTCCTCCCTCTCCCAATTGCCTATGGTAGCGGTGATTGGAAAAAGGGTCCATCACGCCAGACTCCCTCGAGGCGTGAACAATCGCGACGGCAAATGTTTCGCCATCTTCGGCCTCTGGGGGCCCCCACCTGGCCTCGGGGCCGTCAGAAAACGTCGCGTTACGAAAAACCAGCACGTCGGGGGTCCGGGACCGCGGGGACCGTTCGGGCCTGAACGATCGGCCGCGTGAGAGACGCCGGACCGTTTGGCGATTGGCCGAGTCGGGGCCGCCGCTGGCGTTCACCCTGCAGCGCCCACGCTGGGGTCGCCGCTGAAAGACAGGACGCGAATCTACCATAGATCAGATACGAAGGAAGCCTCGCTCCAAGAAATCCAGGGGCACGCCTGTCGATGATCTTGGAGCTCCCCCAGGGGCGCCAAGGCTTCTTATTTGATGCACCTGTCGGCGGCGAGCCCGGGGGAAGAAGGGGGGCGTGAGAAGGGGCGGACCTTCTCAGAAGTCCCCCAGAATTCCGAGATATGCTCTAAACCTTCCCCGAATACACAGAAGAACCCTCAGAAGGCCGGAGGCCTTCTGAGAAGCCCCGCCGCCTTCTGAGAAGGCCTTCTCCTTCTCACTTCTCCCCCTCGCTCGCCGCCGAATTTTTCCTGTCTCGCCTGTTCGCTTCCGATGGCCATCCGAGGCCTCAAGACGGCTCCAAGATGGCCTAAGAGGGCCCCAGGAGAGACCCAAGAGAGCCCCAAGACGGCTTCAAGAGCGCCCACGAGCGCTCCAAGAGCGCTCCATGAGGCGACTTTTGGGGCTCCCCAGGGTGGGGGGGAGGCGAATTAGGGAACCCCTCTTCTTTGATCGATCTCCTCCAAGATGGTCCCAAGAGCGGTCCTAAGGCTCCCAAGAGCGCCCCAAGAGGCGCCCAGACGGCCCCAAGAGGCGCCCAAGATGCCTCTAAGAGGCTCCCAAGATGCCCCCAAGAGGCTTCGAGAGGATCCCCGAGGCACCCGAGACGCTCAAAGACGGGCCTGGGCTCGCCAAGATGCCCCTCCTCCTCCTCCTCCTCCTCCTCCTCCTCCTCCTTGTCCATTGTCTCTTCCTCCTTCCTCCTCTTCACCCTCCTCCTTCTCCTCCTCCTCCTCCTCCTCCTCCTCTTCCTCCTCCACCATCCTCCCCCTCTTGGGGTATCGGACAGCTTCCCCCGCCCTTTGTTCTTCTGCATGCTCCCCCACTGCCCTGATCACCTCAACTCCCCTGGGCATCGTTTCTGGATGGGCTGGTGGGGATGCGCGAAACGTCAACTAATTTCGGAACCCTCCCCGAACACGCAGAAGAACCCTCAGAAGGCCGGAGGCCTTCTGAGAAGCCCCGCCGCCATCTGAGAAGGCCTTCTCCTTCTCACTTCTCCCCCTCGCTCGCTCGCCGCCGAGCCTGCTGCATTGCGCAACTCGCCGCGCAACCCCGTGGCCCATAGCGACGGATGCCGAACCCCGGCACGCAGGGTCAGCTACCCAGTCAAGGCGGAAGGAGTACGCCGTCAAGTACAAGCACTGTTTTGGGACAATCCTCGAGACGCTCTTGGATCCCAGCGACTGGGAGCACACGTGCAGCACCAGAAGCGGCAGCCGGCAGACGCAATCAGAGCACGCCCCTCGCACCGACACGCGCCACACGGGGACGTGGTCGTAGTGACCATGCTCGCATGCACGCTTGCACTGACGTCAGGAGAAACACATTGAGACGCGTATCCCGCGCGCTCGCCAGAAGATCTGATTTCGAAGATCAGTGAACGTGTACGTCTCTAGAACATGCCCCTTTTCAAGCCATCATGCCAGTTCTGGTTACCAGCATGTCCACGACCAGGAGTGACAGCATAAAGCGTTCGCAAACAGTCGTCGCATTCACCCCCTCATCCTCGCCATCCCCTCCCCCCCAATACAAGGCAATCCACGCACGGACTCCTCCATGTCTTTGCAACCTCGAATCACTGACAAGCTGCGACCGCGTCACGGAGTGGCCAGCGAGCAACAGGGCGACGAGAAGGGAGGGAGGGATGACGTGAGGGACTCCCGCCCCGAGCTTGCGAACTGAATAAGAGGTGTGAGCAAGCGTCAAATCGAGGGCCCCCAGGCCGGTGGGGCGGGGCCAATCGCCCCTGGCTCCACCCCGATGGAACTTGGCAACGACCACCCTCTCCTTGCACCTGCTCGCTCCTCCTTCGGGTCGGGAGAGAACGGGTGGCCGATCCCCTCACGCAGCCGCTTCTCCTGCCGCCCCCCTGCGCCAGAGGCGCCTCTGCATCGAAGGCAGGCGACCCGCGGCGGGGACGAGACCAGCCGCACGCCAGCAGACTTCGTCGCCCCCCCCTTTCCCCCTTGTCCCCTCCCCCTCGTCCGACCCCAGCCTCCTGCTCGATCCTCCCCCTATTCCTCCTCCTCCTCCTCCTCCTCCTCCTCCTCCTCCTCCTCCTCCCTCCTCCTCCTCCTCCTCCTCCTCCTCCTCCTCCTCCTCCTCCTCCTCCTCCTCCTCCTCCTCCTCCTCCTCCTCCTCCTCCTGCTCAGGGGTCGACGGGTCGAGACTCGAGGAGCGGCTGCCGAGCTGCAGAGGATCGGCGATCCTCCCTCCCGCGCCCTCTTCCTCCCTCCCCCTCCCTCCCCACAGCTGCAGCGCATACGTGATGGAATGGCAGCCTCGACCCTGCGCAAGGCTGCCACGCGCAGAAATCGAGGGGTGAGCACATCATTTGCTTTCAAAGCAGGCGCGCGCCATGGCCAGGCCCGCTTCAGTCAAAGAGCTTCCCTCCCCAGTCATCCTCTATCCCTCTCCCTCCATCTCCCGCCTCCTTCTCCTCCTCCTCCTCCTCCTCCTCCTCCTCCTCCTCCTCCTCCTCCTCCTCCTCCTCCCCCTCCCCCTCCTCCTCCTCCTCCTCCTCCTCCTCCTCCTCCTCCCTCCCGCTTCGCCTCCCTCTCCTCCTCCTCCCTCGACCATGCGCAGGAGCGACCCTCGGCAAGGAGTGGCCTCCAATGTGCGGCTCGACGGGGCGTCGGAAAGGGACAATCCCAAGAACGCGGCCCTCTGCCGTCGTGCCGCGCTCGGCGAATGTGGTGGACACCGCCGGTACCGCAACAGAGGTCACTCTGGCGAAGCCCTCGCGGGAGTGACCTTTGGCTGCCAGACGGGATCGTAAACCTCAATGATCCTCTGAATGTGTGTTAACGCCAACGCGTTCTGGTCCACCGAAGCCCTTCAATACGACGAAGGTGATATAACGGTGGCCGACACAGGCCGAAGAAGGCAAACATACATTTGGGCTAACACACGTCCTGGGGATCACCGAAACCCGTATCGGATCGTCGCCGCCTCGGGTCAGACCGGAATCGAATCGCGCGAACTCCGCATCATCGGAAACGTGGTCAGGTCGCTGCCGGAAACTTCCCGAATCGAATCGGCAGCCACGGCTTGGGCATTGCGGGGGGCGGAGAAGCGTGCACCTTTCGTGCCCCTTTAGGACACAAAAGGTGCACCTTTCCCCAAACTGTGTCTCCCCCATTGCGCAGCAACCCCCCGCGGCGTTTCGGGCCGTCGAGCCTGATCGAATCGTAAACAGTCCAAGGAGGGTCGCCCCAACATGCAGTCTTCGGGGCCCCAAAGCCGTGTGCTGAAGGACCGCGTGGTGACCTCGGAACCCCCAACGACCTCACCGCGCGGTCCGTCACCGCACGGCCTTTGGGACCCCGGCCCGAGACGTCCTCGAGGAGCGGCCCGATTCTCCTGAACAAACAGCGTGCTGGCCTCGGACTCTCACCGACTCACCACGCGGTGTGGTCCCCACACCGTTTTGGGGGACCCGGTGGTCGGCTGACCCCGGGCGCCTGCGCTGGCATGCCGCACGCCTGGCCGTCGGGCTGGGGCAGGAAGCCCGCGGCGCCCATGCTGGGGTCGGTCTGCATCTGGCCTATCCCGACCGAGCAGATCCACTGCATCATCTGCATCTGCTCCTCCATGGACATGGCCTGGGCCATGGGGGGTGGGCACGGGGGGAAGAGTCCTTCCTAGCGTGGCGCTGAGAAAGGCAGGGTTCTGACAGTGGGGACGGGGAGCCCGAGAACTCCCCACAATTCAATCGGGAATCGTGCTCCCGCCTCTATGCCGGCTGCACGTTTGGTCCGGATGGCTACGATATCGGGTTCAAAATACGCACGAGTGCATGCGGCCGTGCTCTCACACCACTGGCCCAGCTGCACCTTTTCTTTCTCACACCTGTCCAGGCTGCTATTCGAGTGCTTTGCTGGGTTTCTGCTTCTGGGAAGGAGGACACGGGAGCGGGCCAAGAGAGTCCCCCCAGCAAGCCTCAACGACCGTGCCGCCAATAAGACATGGAACGCTATTCACGCGCGCCCCACGCTGCATGGCAGGATTGTCCCGCGAACGTGGCTGAAACTCGGGCCTTGGACTCGGACTGGCAATCTGAGAAAGAAGCGTGAGGAGGAACGGGAGGGAGGGGGGCACACTCGTGCCCTATCAATCGGGGTTCGTACTCACGGCCCCGAACAATAAAAATGGCCCCGAGCTCTGGCAATAACATCAACATTCCACGGCGCGGACGTGCATGCTGTTACGACGATAAACATGCGCCATGTAAACACCTCGGCGCCACGCGGGGAGTAATGCGAGGCAGAGGGAAGGGGAAGAGGACGAGGAGGAAGAGGAGGAGAAATGAGGCAAGGGAGGGGGGGCGGATCTACTTATCCAAAGGGCAGGGACAAGAGGAAAGCATTGTTTGGGAAGGCAGGTGGTGGGCGAACAATAATGATAGACATGCCACGCGACGAACAATACTATAAATGCCACGAATCATGTTTATCATGCTACTAATGTAAATTCAAATGATGATAATGAGTAACGATAAGAAATACGAATAATACTACTAATAACGATGATGATACGATTTGTCAACCTGACAGACTTTCGGTGGAATTTACTCCATCCGAACCCTTGGCGCATGAAGTACTTAACCCCCGCCGCGCCGCCGTGGGCCATTTCCGTTACGTGCCCCAGTCTGGGGCCCCCGCTCGAGACATCCTCGCAAAGTCGACCCCCTGGCGCGTGAAAGACTCAGGCTACAATTTCCTTTTACAGGAGGAATGATAAAACAAAAAAAAAAAAACATCTGCAAACAAATAGCGCGACGATGTTTCTAATATTTTTGCTAATTCTGAATATCCTTTTGATATTTTTCATTTTTCTGCCAAAATCTGCCTGTAATGGGACATGCCCGACCTGCACTCAGGCCCCGCCGCGCCCCGAGGGTGCACTTCAGGTGGCACGCCGGCGCGCCGGGCGCGCTTGGCGTGGCCCAGTCCAGGGCTCTCGCTCGAGACATCCTCGCAAAGTCGCACCCCCGACGCGCGAGAGAGTCAGGCCGCGCCGCGCCCCTGGGGAACATGTCAGGAGGGCGCGCCAGGCGCGTCCCAGTCTAGGGCCCTCGCTCGAGACATCCTCGCAAAGTCGCCCCCCCCAGCGCGCGAGAATGTTAGGCCCCGCCGCGCTCCCAGGGGCCATTTCCAAGGAAAACACCTGGAGCGCCAGGCGCGCCGGAAGTGTCCCAGCCCGGGGCCCTCGCTCGATGCATCCTCGCAAGGTCGCCGTTTCGCTCGCCGACGGAGGCCCCCAGCAGCTGGGGGGGAAGAGTGCGCTATGACGTAAAACGATGAACGCGATTTTGTTTAATGGAAGGATGTAAAGCGGCGCGGGTCGAGCATTATAGCGGGCGCGGGAGGCGCGCCTGCAAACCAGGCTGCAGCGGAAAACCATTCCCTCCCACGCCCGACATGCTTGCTAAAAGAAAAAGTGAACTGGGGCGCAATCCGCGCGCCCGCCGTGCTTCATTGGCCCCTGGGCGCAATCCGCCCACGCCGCCACCGAGGCCCGACAGGCCTGCCGCGCTAAATCGCTGCAGCACGGGGCAGGGCGAGGAAGGGGTTCTACGAACTCCCCCTCTCATGTAACAATGCACTGCGCGGAGGGCCTCCTGCTGGCCAAGTCCCTCATGGGAAACTGCGCCCCGGCCGAGTGGAAAGACTGGCAGCGCACTATTGGTGGAGCGCAGAAATACATGCTCGAGTGCGCGACGCTCGACGGCCTGCCGTTCCACGAACATCGTCCGTTCAAGCAGTCCCTCGCCGTCGTGGCTCGCTGCGTCGCTCTCGCGACGCGCGGGTGCCATCGAACCCTTCTTCCTGATGCGCTGGGATCGCGAATCGCAGCGTGCGCGCCGGTCGCTGCATTCGCGAACGCAGTTCGGACATGCGACGCCGTGTGGGTCACCCAAGGGCGCCGCCGCTCCCCGTTGAGGTCGCTGTTCTGAAAGATCGGCGCCGTCTTCTTGAGTCGCTCCTCGCTCAACGTCGCCATTGGGCGTGCGTGGGCGAGGGGGTGAGCTCCTGGCCGATGGTTTCCCCCGGCCGTCGTGGGGTCTGTCGGTGTGTCGCGGATGTCGCGCTTCAGCGTCTCGGATGACCGTTTGGTGCGCTGCTGGTCTGCGCGCCACCGTGGGCGGCCTGCCGCGTTGCTCTCTGATGGCGGCCGCGCGCGGCCCATGGCCGGGGCGGGGAAGACGGGCGCGCCGTCCGCGACCAGCTCGGCCAGCGCAGCGTAACCTCCCTCTTCCTTCAGCCTTCTGACCTCATCTGCTGAAGCGTGTCCGCGCATCGTCTCGCGGGGCGTCGGGGGCGCGCCTGCGGGCCGTCTGCCCAGCCTCGTGCCGCGCGCAGCTCGGAGCCAAATGAGGCTCAACACGCCAGTTTGCGTGATCGGCTCACAGCGTCGAGCAAGTGGCACTGCGGCGCTTTAGACGAATGTCTACGGCGCCACGCATGCCGAGCACTGTCTCCCCCTCGCGCTTGGGCGAGCTGTCGCCGCGCGCGCAGATCTGGCCTGCGCGGCCCGTCGCCGGGAAGACGACGCGCGCTTTGATATTCTGCGTGGCGACAGCAGCGGAGTAGAGCTGCATGACGTGCCTGATGAGCAGCTTGCTCTTGGACCCCCCCAGAGCAACCGCGCGCGCCGCGACGCGGCGCTGCGCGCGGCGCTGCACGCGGCGCCGCGCGAGCAGCGCGCGGGCGGCCGCTCCGCGGAGAGGAGGCAACGAGGTTCGGCTCGTCGGCCTTCGCCTTGTCGACGTGCCTGACAGAGGCCAGCTTTTCGATGTGCGAGCGTCGCTGCCCCGTCCGCGCTGCGGTGTTCGTGGGCGCCGCAATTGGTGAAATCGTCGTGGCCACTTTGACCTGTGCCGAATGCAATCTCGGTGTGGCCTGTTAGCCAGCCTGCGTGCTCCTTGCGCCCAGCGACTCCCATGTCATCGACGGGCTCAGCGCGAGCAGTGGCCCTGAGCCGCCGGCGCCGCAAGCGCCGGACGCCTCGCGCTTGATCTCGCGCCCCTGGCCCCGCCGCGCCGGCCCGGCGCCGCGCTCGGGCGATCGCGCGGCCCAGGCGAGCTTCGAGGGGAAATTCCTGGGCGCGCCCTCTCAGCCCGCGCCCGGCTCGACGCGGCGCGACAGGCCGCCTCTGCAAACATAATGGCCTCAAAGGCCCGCTTCGCAGCGCTGGCGAACGTCTTCAGGGCTCTTGCGCCCCTGTCGCGGAAGCCCCTCAGCACCCCGCGGCGCCGGGCGATCCGGGCGGTGTAGCCATCTGAACTCTTCCGGCGCTTCCATGTGAACGCGCGCCTGGAGCCCGCGACGTTCCGACTGCTTCTGAGTGGGCGTGAATCGAAGCAGTTGTACTTGACCCGGATGGAGAGCTCCTTGAAGATGGCGGCGGCCACGTCTTTGGTCAGCTTTGGCATCTCCTATTTGGGCGGGAGATCGGCGTCGCGCTTGATTGCCGCGGTCTCGACGGCGGCGTAGACCTTGAGCGCAGCTGTGGTTGGCCCGCCGGCAAGGTAGTTGCCCCCGTGGCAACTTAGAAATGCTTAGAAATGCTTCTCGCACTCCTGGCCCCCTCCTCCTCAAGCTTGGCGCAGTCGTCTACAGTGGCGCCGCGCGCCGCGCAGGTTGTTGTGACGCCGCGCGTGGATGTGCTGACCTTGGTGCTGAATATCCAGGTGCTTGGGCCACTCGCGCGGCCTGAAGCCTGCGCTGGCGGCCGCGTGCTCAACGGCAGCGTCAACCATCTGCTCGCTGTCGGGGCCTTCCGCCACCTGCAGCTCATGGGTCAGATCCTCAGCGCCCTCGACCCTCTGCCAAGCTGCCCGCGTCGCCTGTTGGATGCGGCCCGGGAAGTCGCAGTCGAATTCCTCGGGTGTCACCGACAGGGTCGATGGTGAACCGCCCTCGGTGGCGTTGGCGGCGTCCCCGGGGATGTCGATGACACAGGCGCTGGACATCCCGTCTCGGTCTTCCCCTGCGTCGGCTGCCAGTGGCTGTTCGTCGCCCAGGTCGAACTGGATGATTCGAGCGTCCTTCCAGTGCTCGCCGATGAAGCTGTGGGCGTCGAGCCTAGCGCCGTCCAAGCGCAGTTGGCGGACATCGCATGGGACCACCGCAGGCCAGACTGCGCCTGCAGCCCGGCCAGTCGCGCGCAGATTTCTGACCGCCTACGAGACGCACGGCACGAACGTCTGGTAGTTGGAAGCATCTGCGGGCCAAGTGGCGCAGAGCATCATGGACACCAGGGCGTTGCCGAGCCTGCTCGGTCAGCTGCTTGCCGCGCTCCGCCTCCCAGATGCCGAAAGTCCTGGCCCCTAGCCTAGCGCGATATTTCCAACAAGACCCCCCGCGCGATCCCAGGTCAGGCCTGCTCGCGCCATGCCCGTGCCCATGTCGTTGCACACGGCGCCGATGAAGGTCCGCATGTCCTGCACTCAGAAATCTCGGCGTTGCGGCACTTGGCCGTGGCCTTGCCTCTGGACGGGTCCACAGGAGAAGACAAAACCAAAACCTGCCCAGACCGACACGTCTTTCGTACTGGGAGGCCGGTGGATCCCAACCTGATCAACCACGCTGAGCCGTCCCTCTCTGGTCTCGGTGGCGCGTGTCCGGAGGGCGCGGCTAACGCGGGCGATCGAAGTAGCCTCGATCATATGCTGCAGGGCGATATCACGGATGCGCCACTGCAGCCGGCTGGGTTGGCCCGCGGCGGGGCGGGCTCCAGCAATGTTGTCGCCCTCGCCCTCCTCGTCTGCTTCGACCGGTGGCAGCATGGAGGGTATCCAGCCAAAAACGACGTTGCATTGTGCAACGCCGCTCAAGTGAATGATGCTGGCGTGGGCCAGCATGCTATCGAAGTTGGCGGTGGTGCCTTCGCGATCCAGCTGCTTCTCGGTGGTGTGCCGTCCGTGTCGCAAGGTTGCACCACGTTGCTCTATAAAGCGAGTGTGTAGTCGTGGAGCCCCGATCTCCACCTGGGCTCCTCTCCTCCCGCTCCCCTCCACAAAGTACCTGGAGGACATCCTTCCTTCGTCGTCCACGATGAAGGTCTCCACTGATCCAAGTAGCTGAATCCATGACCTGCCCACCGCTGCCAGCAGCTACGGCGCGGACGAACGGAGACGAGGTCGAACTCACGTCCTGTAGCAGACCACTAATCGGACCTGCACTGTTCATGCGCTCGGCCTCCTTCCGGCCGCGCTCGTGCTCAGTCATGGTAGCGGGATTGCCGCAGGGAGTTATGTATATATATATATATATATATATATAGGTATATATGTATCAGTAGATGTATATGAGCATATGCAAATATACAGAGTAGTAGAGAGGAAGAAGGAGACAGAGAGACATAGAACGTGTGATATATATATATATATATATATATATATATAGAGAGAGAGAGAGAGAGAGAGAGAAAGAGAGAGAGAGAGAGAGAGAGAGAAAGAACCAACACATATACATATAGACAGAGGGAAAAGGGGAAAGACAGGCGCAGCTCGCGCGTGCGAAGACCGACTTGCGCCCAGCCGCCAATATTCATACAAAGGACCCCCCGACGAGCACACTGCCGTTGGCGTTTGGAGGGTCCTGCGGGCGTCGGTCTTCCTGTGCGGTGTCATGGGCTGTGTGCAGAATCCAAGCACTCCTCTGGGCGAGAGTGCCTCGGAGTGCTGCTTCTTGGGAGACCACCTCTTCTTCTGGTCCCCTGGGGGCCTAGGGGCTCGGAGAGGGGCCAGGGGCGCCGCGAGGGGCTACACTTAGGTCGGGCGTGCCCCCCTACAGGCGGATGTGGGACAACATACCAAAAGTCTGTAAAAATGCTCATAGTCAACAAATCGTCCCCGTATTATTTTTTGACTATTTCTTTGAATCTTCCTCCTGTAGAGGGACAGACCCGACTTAAGGCTACACAAACTGCCCTCTGCTGTTCCAGGGTGGCCCCAAGGTCGCCTCCGAGAAGGCGGACATGCCGCCCGCCTTCGCCAGGCACTTTCTTTTGCCAGCAAGACCAGCCGCTAGCCGGCGAGGGCCCCAGACAGCAAGTTACTGCACTGCGAACAGGTGTGATGGGCCTGTTTTCCACCACCACCACCACCATAAGTTGGAGGGGGGAGGGAGGTGGAGGATGAGGAGAAGGACGAGGAGGATGAGGAGGACCCCCTCCCCCTCCAACTTCTGATGGTGGTGGTGGAAAACAGGCCCATCAAAATGAGCTACGTGGTGCAAGCTATGTGGTGTAAGCTACTCCGAGTTTCTGAATACGCGTCGTGGGGGGGCGTCACCCCCGCCGACGGCCCCACATCGGCCCCCGCCGCGGGCAGCCACCGCGCGCCGAAGGCGCTCCGACCCCCGTCGCGGCTCGACGACGATGCGAGGTTTATCCCCGTCGGGGGGGTACCCACACGCTTATTAAGAAACCCGGAGTATGTGGTGGAGGCGGCCACGGGCGGCAACGTGGCGAAACCTCGCAGGACCCACCCAACGCACACGGCGGCCACGTGGCGGCCACTGAAGGCAACGTGGAAAATTATCGCCAGACCGATGCAATTTCTTTCGACGAAGATAAGAAGAGCCCCCAAGTGCAAGCTCTTTTTGGGGAGCGCAACGAGAGCTGCTCAGTTTGCAAGATGGGTTCGAGATGGCCCAAGAGGGCGTTCAGAGCGGCCCAAAGAGGCCCCAAAGCGCCCCCCCATGCACACCAAGAGGAGGAGATGGACCAAGACCGTGGCTCGCTCTGCCGGGTTCGGGCACCTCCGCATACGAACATGTTGGCATCTCCTGCGGGCGCATCTGAAGGGAAACTGGGACACACAACAAAATACACACAAATAGCCAGATTCCCAGTATTTTCCCATATCTTCTGGGTAACTGTCTTCCCCCACACTTCCCCTAATTTTCCGTATTTTCCTGGGGATCGACGATTAGTTGTGTCTGTTTGCTTTTTTCCCTCCTGAGAATCTCGTGTCCGACGAAGCCAAGACATGGGGCAACATCGGACCGGGACAGGCCGGGGACCTCGGAAGCCTGGCGGCTCTGGAACGTGTGCCGGGCGCCGCGGCATCCTCGGAGCGCCAGGGGGGCGCGCCAGGCTGCGACGGGCCTGCGGGCGCCCCGTCGCCCCTCTCGGAGGAGGAGGAGGAGGAGGAGGGAGGAGGAGAAGGAGGAGGAGGAGGAGGAGGAGGAGGAGGAGGAGGAGGATTCACCCCAGTTCTACTCCCACCAACTTCCGCCGTCCTTCCACCAGCTTCCGCCGGCGGGGCGGCCCCCGCCGCACTTCCGCCGGCGTCCCCCAGAGGAGCTTGCCGCCGCTCGGACGCCCGTTCCCTGTGCCCGCTTCGGCCTCGTGCGCCAGCGGATCCAGGCTGCTCCTCGATGGTCCTCGCCGAGGAAGAGGCACACCTCCGAGCGATGCCAGGTCCAAGGGAGTCGAATCCGACGGTCCGCAGGCAGCCCAAGAGGGGCGCAGCGACGCGGCATCGACGCGATAAACGACCTCCTGTGGCAACTCATGGTAGCCTCCCATACCATCTTGCTGGGTCCTGCGAACCGACGCTGGCCGACGCTAAGCGACGCTTGCCGACGCCAATCGACGCTAACTGACGCCAAATCGACGCCAACCGACGCTAAACTGGTGCTGACTGTAACGCCTCGTCGATCGTCCTCCACAGCATGCACCCCGATCTGATGGGCCTGTTTTCCACCACCGCTACCATAGGTAGGAGAGGGAGGAGGGGGAGGAGGAGGGGGAGGAGGAGGAGGAGGGGAAGGAGGAGGAGGAGGAGGAGGAGGAGGAGGAGGACGACGAGGGGGAGGACGAGGAGGAGGAGGAGGAGGATCTCCCCATCCTCCTCTCTCCACCGTCCTGCCTATGTCAGTGGTGGTGGGAAATTGGCTCATCACGATCGAGAGCCCCAAGAGCCCAGAGGCACGCGCTCAAGGCCCCAGGGCACCAGAGCGACGTCGCTCTCCTGGCAAAGAACCTTCTGCCCACCGCCCTTCATGGCGCTGCTGCTCCTCTCCGCTCCTCCCGCTCTTCCTCCTTCCAATACTCTTCCAACGTACCTCCGCCTCCTCCTCCTCCTCCTCCTCCTCTACTCCTCCTCCTCCTCCTCTTCTCCTCCTCCTCCTCCTCCTCACCGCAACTGCTCATCGCCCTCCTCCTCCTTCTCCCCCTCATCCTGCTCTCGATCCCTTCTCTCCTCTCCTCAACTTCTCCTCTTGCTTCCCGACTTTCTGCTTTGATGGGGCTTTCCCGCCGCCTGCTGGAAGTCACCCTGAGAGAACATTCATTATTTTCTGCATCGAACGCCGACTAAGCGAAAAACGGAAACAGGAGGGTGAAGGGGGAGGGAGGCCGAAGAGGACAATGACTGATGAAAAGGAGGATGAGGATGATAATGAGGATGAGGAGGAAGAAGAGGAGGAGAGGGCGGAGAAGGAGAAGAGGGAAGGGGCGACGTATAAAGAATATCGCAGTAGGATGAGGGGGACACAGAGGATGAGTTATGAGCGGTGGCATCGGGCAGCCGTTTTCAAACAATGTGCATGGGCGCTCAAATTCCACTCACGCCGCGCCCTCCTGTAATACCTTGCCAGGCTGTGAAAACGGGTCCCGAACTCTGTTGGTCGCACCGCGGCACGGAGGTCCGTCCGACTCCCTGACGCTCCAGGTTCCTGACGCCACTCCCCTTCAAGCTCGTGCATTCGTCGCGGTTGCGATGCGGTCGTGAGGGGGGAAGGTGAGGGGCAGATGAGCAGCTCAGGGGGGAGAGTCCGAAAGTTCCTGGGCCGGATGGGGCTGTCGGGCCCCCCTCGGCGATCAATGGGCGATGTGGGGGGTTGATCCCTCCCCCCCCGAGCCCAGCTCCCCCAATGCTGCCGCTGAGGCCAAGGCGCCGCTCTCTGCTCGCGGGCGCGCAAACATGGATTAGCGATCCATGGATTTGGCGCGCGGTCGCCAAATCCATGGATCGGGGGAGGTGCAGAACGCGGCCGGTGCCGCCTCGCTCGGCGGCGGCAATCCGCGACGTCCCATGAAAACGGGACCCGTCGCTAATCCACGGCCCCTCGCTCCATGTTTGCGATCGCCTGATTTTCGTACTCGTCCTCATACTGGCGGAGTTTGGACGAAAAACTAAAAATACCCCAAAATTAAGAAACATACTCAGATCGAGTCAAAACGTCGTCCCCAAGCTATCTTGTTTTTGATTTGTTTTGGAATATTTCACGCCGGCAGAGGAGCGGGCCCGACGTGGCACTGCCCTCTTCGCACGCGTCCTCATGAGATTCCTCCCGCTCCTCCTCCTCCTCCTCAACCTCCTCCTCCTCCTCCTCCTCCTCCTCCTCCTCCCGCGAGCGCCGAGAGCACAACGCGCACCGACCGCCGCGGCCGCTCCGTGGGGTGGGCCCGGCCCCGGAGCAGGGGCGAGCCGCTGCATGCGCTCCCCGTCGCTCGGGCGTCCACTCCCTGTGTGCTTTTTTTCGACTTCGTGCGCGGTGTTTTTTGCCGCAGGATGGTCCAGGATGCTCCTCCAGGGTCCTCGCCGAGAAAACATGCACACGTCCGAGCGATGCTCCCCGTCCTCTCGGACGTCCATTCCCGGTGCTTTTTTCGGGTTCGCGCGTGGGTTTTTCGCAGGGTGGTCCAGGATGCTCCTTAAGAATCCCCGCCGAGAAAAAATGCACACGTCCGAGCGATACCAAGTGCAAGGGGGAGCGGCGCGACGAGGGAGGCGAGGTGCCCCCCCCCTGGGCTGCACGCGGCACGCCAAGAGTGACCCTGGGCACGACCAGAGGCCTCCCAGCCGCTCTTGTTTGACTATTCTTGAATATTCCTGCTGCAGAGGGACGTGGCTGACTTAAAACTAGAGGACTCCTAGATGCGGTCGGAGTAGATGGGGTCGGAGAATCTCGCCGCATCGTCGACACATCGGCGATGCATCGCCGATGCACTGGCGACGTCGGCGGTGCATCGGCGACGTCGGCGTGGAGAAAACTGGGCCCCACATCGAGCCGCATCGCCGATGCATTGCCGATGCATCGTCGATGCGTCGGCGATGCGGCGCGATCCTCCGACACCATCTACTCCGACCCCATCTAGGAGGTCCAGATTTTGGGGGGCCGCGGGGGGACCAAGCACAGGCGCGCAAGCCGCTTCTGTCGCACAATCGCGCTCGGCGATCGGGGGACCTCAATGGGCCCACACCAGAGGTCACTCCGGCGAAAAGTCACTCTTACGTGTAGCCGGCCCCCTGGCTCCCCCTCGGGCCGTAGGCGTCACGGTCCCGGGTCGGACGCAGCTGTCCCCGCACGCATAGGCCGCTGCCCCTGGGTGCGGTTAGGTCGGGCATGTCCTCCTACAGGCAGGTTGCGGAGGAAGAATCAACAATAGCCAAAATGATATAAAACACAGCGCGCGACACATCGTCCCCAGACCAAGTTTTTACTGTTCTTGAATCTTATTCATCCTGTGGAGGGGCACGCGCGACTTAGGCCCAGGGGTCACTGCCCCTGGGAGGGGGGATCAAGCAAGATGAAGGGGCCCAAGGACACACAAATACATAGACACAACAAAACAGGATTCCCCACATTTTCCCATAGGTTCTGAGCTTTTGTCTTCCCCCTCACTTCCCATATTTTCCCATATTTTCCGGGGAATCGACGATCAAGTGTGTCTGTGTTCTTGTTTTCCCTCCCGAGCCAGAGCCTGCAACAACAACACGGGAACGCCACGGCGGATGCGGACGGACGGCCCTGGCCACCACGGGGCGAGGCAGCCGTGTACCCTGGCGCCCCTTGGGGGGGGAGTGATGCCCCCCAGTGGCTCCCCTTGCTGGTGCTCCTCGTCGCTGTCCTCCGCCTCGTCCTCCTCGACGTCGTCGTCCTCTTCCTCTCCCCCATACAGTCGGACTCGAGTGGACAGGACATGCGAGAGGACACGATACCCTTCCGAGGGCAACATCACCATAGGAGTGTAAGAAGGCACGTGTCGTAAGGCACAGGACACAGGACACAGGGTCGACCTACTAATCCGGGCCGACTGTGTCTTCCCCTCTGTCATCTCTTTCCCTCCCCCCTCCCCCTCTGGCCCCGAAGACCGCTCACGGCCCCTCGGGTTGGGCGGCGGTGGCCGTGGGGTGTCCCGCCGTGGTGTCCCGATGGTGTCCCGTGGTGATCCCGTTTAGCCAAGCATTCTTCCACCCTGTTACTCCCCCTCCTCTCTCCCTGTCTTCCTTCTCCGAAGACGATCGAAGTAGACGACGACGGCTGCGGCGACGGAACCGCTACTATATATAATCATAGACCTATATATAGAGGACCCTCGATGTAATCCGTACGTCCGCGGCGAGCTCCCTGTCGTCGCCACCGTCGTCGTGATCACGGCCGTCGTGACCGTCCTCTGTCGCAGTCGTCGGGGCCGTCGTGGCCGTCGTGGGCGTCGGAGGCGCGGCGGCGTGGCGGGAGGCATGCACGACAGCAAAGAGAGATCCTGCTGCGGCTGCTGCACCGCGGGGCCGGGGGCCAAGAAGTCGTCCAGCTTGAGCCGCAGCACATCCTCCCGACAGCAGCCACGTCGTCGTCGTCGTCGTCGTCGTCGTCGTCGTCCTCGTCGTCGCCGTCGTCGTCGTCGTCCCCCTCCCCTCCCCCTCCTTCTCCTACATCCTCCCTAATCCTCCCCCCCCTCGCCCACCCTCCTCCTAACTCCTGCCTCCTCCCTCCTCCCTCCTCTCTCTTTCGATCCTCCTTCCCCCAATCCTTCCTCCTCATCCTCCCTCCTCCCATTCCCACCTCCATCCTCCCGCCTTTCATCCTCCCATCCCCCTCCCCCCCTTCTCCTCCTACCTCCTTCCTTCCCCTCCATCTCCAACCTCCCTCATCCCATCCTCCATACTCCCATCCTCGCTCCTCCACCCTCCCGTTTTTCTGCCTGCGACGGCCACGTCCCAGAATAAGTTTGGAGGTAACCTGGAAGCACGTCCGCTCGGTGATGCGGAAGATGTCACAAGTTCCGACCACCATGGAGGGAATAACACCGGGGACCATGGCCAGGATGTCGCGGGATCTTGTCCATGCCGATCTTGGTCATGGTCCATGTCGGCCGTCGCCGATTCGCGAGGATGGTGCACGCATTGACGCTGACCAAGATCGGCACGACGTTTCCGCGTGTATTCTTGGCCATAGTCCCCTGTTCCTTCCCCTCCACACCACACCCCCCTGCCAGGTGGCCTGCCAAGCGTGATTTCTCTTCAGCACGTCCTTCTTCCAACCCGAGTGATCGGCGAACGAAGAACGGGTCTCACGCACGAGCTCACAACGACCTTACGCTGCGGCCTACGCGGTCCGCCAGCGCGGCACACCGCGTGGAGAAGAGGGCGCGCACGCGCGACCTTACGCGAGAAGCTTACGCCCGAATGTCCGCGCACTCGACCCCGTTTTCCCCCCTCGCTGGGGTGCCTCCTGCTGCAGACTGCACCCGCCAGCTCGGCAGTGGGGCAGCCGACGCCTCACGCGCTTGATGATGTGCCACCGCTAACCCCTTCTACGGCCAGCCCACGCCGAAGCGACTTCGGTGTTGCTTTCCGACACCGCGCAGACCGTTCGACCCTGAACGATCGGCGGCCTCCTCTTCCTCTTCCTCTTCCTCCTCCTCTTCCTCTTCCACCGCCTCTTCCTCTTCCTCCTCCTCCTCGTCCTCCTCCTCCTCCTCCTCCTCCTCCTCCTCCTCCTTCTCCTCCTCCTCCTCCCCCCAACTTCTGGCTCAAATGTTCGTCCAGGGCCCGCGGAAGAGGAAGAGGAAGAGGAGGAGGAGGAGGAGGAGGAGGAGGAGGAAGAGGAGGAGGAAGAGGAGGACGACTCGTTCCACATAGGCCGACTCTGGGCCACCGGCCACGCTTGACCTTGGTGAACGCCCGCGGCGGGGTCGCCGCCGCGCGATGGCGGCGCGGGGCCCGCCGTGGGCTTCTGCTCCCTCTCCTGCTCCAGCTGGCGCGCCCCTGTGCCTGCGGGGCGTGCGAGACAGTTCTAGGAATTTATAGGAATGTATAGCAAAAGGAAAAAAATATAGCAATTAATACGAATTATAGGCATTCAGAGAAGTTGTAGGAATCTATATGGATGTGTAGGAACACGATTATGCCAGAATGTAAAGGGAAACGCCAGAATCTATAGGAATGTATATGGAGTGAAAAGAATTTGTAGAACAACGTAAAAGAAGTTGTAGGAATTGATTGATCGGGGCGTGCGTAATTTACAAGAGAACGCCAGAAACACAACATGCCGGAAATCCGCGCGAACATCGGCGCGAGACCGCGCCATGGGCGGCGCCGGAGGCGTCGCCAAACAGGCCCAGCGCCGACTCAGGGAATTCGCGCGGAGCTCTGCGAGTTCATGCGTATGCAATTTCGCTTTCTGCTTCTGCTTCGACAGCGGCTCAACTCGTCCCATGGTTCTCGAGTTCGGGAATCGGTCCGCAATGCTATTGTTCAGGTGAGGTCGCCTGAGTTGCAACCGTGGTATGCTGCTGGCACGTGGGCGCGCTGACCCCACCCAGCTCTCGTCACCGCCCACTGTTGGGCCATGTCCAGGCTCTGGCCAAGCTGAGCGACATGGAGCAACGTATGGAAACGCTGGCCAGAACTTTTGAACGAAGCTTCGTAGCGCGCACTGCCAATACTGTGGCAACTTTATCGACCCAAGAACGCGATGACCTCTCTGCTAGCTCTTGCGAGCGTGTTCTTATCCGTCTTTTCGACATTGGGCGGAAGGGGGGAGGAGGGGGGTGGGGTCTGGCTCTGGACCTCTGCGTTATGCGGCTATTTGGAACCGTGCGTCCTCTGGGGGATACTCCTGCTCCCCCTGCTCGAGACACATACGCCCAAACCAGCCAGGCCCTACTTCACGGAGGGGGGGGGAGAGGGGAAGCGAGGGCCCGCGCCGATTGGCAAAAAACAATGCATAACAATCACGATCACCAAGTTGCCGTCGCTTTGGACATATGGCCTCCTCACGTACTCTTACAGTTCGTGCAGGTGGCCGCGCGACAGCATGCGCACCCACGCCGCACTTCTCCACTTGGCCAAACCTGCTCCTCTGCCACAGGACACTGCGTTGGCTACGCAATTGTTTTTTCCAAAGCCTCCCTTGGTGGGTTCTCGTCCCAAACAAAACACTGCTCGCGCGTTTACCCCACCCCCTACTCCCTCTCTTCGTCCTCCTGATGCTCCTCCTCCTCCTGCTTCCTCTTGCTCCCCCTGCCTCATTGCCTCCCCCGATCGTACCTTTCCGACTGGGGGGCTGCTTGGGAGGCTGCCAACTGCGCAAGCGTCGCCACTTTCGTGGGCTCCCAGGAGGTCCAGTGGAGGCGCTTGGCAGCCGAGACCTCGCTGCTCTCTGGGAGGCTGCGGCTGGCAGCCGAGACCTCGCTGCTCCCTAGGAGGCTGCCAACTGCGCAAGTGTCGCCACTTTCGCAGGCTCCTGGGAGGTCCAGCGGGTGCGGTTGGCAGGCGACACCTCGCGGCTCTGTGGGAGGCTGCCAACTGCGCAACTGTAGCCACTTTCGTGGGCTCCTGGGAAGCAACCAACTGCGCAACTGTCGCCACTTTCGCGGGCTCCCGGGAGTTCCAGCGGAGGCGGTGGGCAGGAGAGGCCTCGCGACTCTCTGCGAGGCAACTGGCCAGCTGTCGCCACTTTCGTGGGCCCCTTGGATGTCCAGCGGAGGCGGTTGGCAGGCGAGGCCTCGCGGCTCCCTGGGAGGCTGCCAGCTGCGCAACTGTCGCCAATGTCGTAGGCTCCTGGAAATCCAGCGGAAGCGGTTGGCAGCCGAGACCTCGCTGCTCCCTGGGAGGCAGCCAACTGCGCAACTGTCGCCACTTTGTTGGGTGCCTGGGAGGTCCAGCGGAGGCGATGGGCAAGCGAGACATCGCGGCTCCATTGGAGGCTGCCAATTGCGCCACTGTCACCACGTTCGTGGGCTTCTGGGGGATCCAGCGGACGCGATGGGCAAACGAGACCTCGCGGCTCTCTGGGAGGCTGCCAATTGCGCAACTGTCGCCACTTCCGTGGACTCCTGGGAGGTCCAAACGTAAGCGTCCGATCGAACGCCCTAAAACGGCTCGTCCCGCTTGCGGGGGCTGCGTGAGTCATGCAATAATGAACGCAGGCATCGGTCATAACCAGACATTCAACACACACCTCAAGACATGGGCTACACGAGTGTGTACATGTATGACACATGCCCAACCCGAAAATCATCTGACAGCCGCACGCTCGCATTGTGCAACTCACGCCCTAAGCTGGTGTCGAAACGATCCCAGAACAACTTGTCGACAACAGTTCTGGACGCCAACACAGTGCTAGAGACGGGTATCCACGCCTGTCGTTGCACACCCTCTTCAGGATGTTCCAACGCGGTGTGTCTATCACTTTGAGCCAAACACCTTGTAAACTGTCATTGCTCGTTCCACTTTACTTTTGCATCGATGCTCAGCGGCCTTCCAAGACTCGAGATCAACTTTGCAAAACCCTGCAATCCGTCGGAGCATTTGCGCCCGAGCACTGGCTTTTGTCCGCTATATCGTGCGGTAAGCGGCGATGTTGCAAGACAATGCATGGCCGTTGGCGTCATAACTTCAAGCGCATCTTCAATGACATTCGCTTCTTGACGAAAACTGGCTTGAATACGTGTCATGTCGACCATGCACATTAAGTCCGGTGTTTTGAACTGCAGGCGCCTTGTTATCTGCGACCACTGCGCAAAGGATTTCCCAAATACAGTGCTTGTGCATGTCAACTGTCAACATCACCAGCTGACTACGACCGATCATTTCTGCCGGCCATCCTGTGGTGTTGGGTCCTCGTTTTGAAGAGACAGCGCCCCGCGTCACTCACCTTGTTTCCTCCTCCCCCTCCTCTTCCCTCCTCCCCCTCCGCCTCCCTCATCCATCATCACCATCCTCTCCCACCCAGACCTGCGCTTCGTGGCCCCATGGGGGACTCTACCGAAGGCGCCAGTGGCACCGCCCGCATGCGTCACCCCCACAGTACAGCGCTTCGTGGCCCCATAGGGAACTCCACCGAAGGCCCCAGTGGCACCGCCCGCATGCGTCCCCCTCACCCAATACAACGCTTCGTGGCCCCATGGACAACTCCACCGAAGGCCACCTTGGCACCGCCCGTATGCGTCAACCCCACCAAAGACAGCGCTTCGTGGCCCCATAGGGAGCTCCACTGAAGGCCCCAGTGGCGCCGCCCGCATGCGTCACCCGTACCCACTACAGCGCTTGGTGGCCCCAGAAGGGGGCTCCACGGAATGCCCCAGTGGGTCACCCCCACCCAGCACAACGTTTCGTTGCCCCATGGGGAACTCCACCGAAGGCGCCAGTGGCACCGCCCGCATGCGTCACCCTCACTTAATACAGCGCTCCGTGGCACCATAGGGAGCTCCACTGAAGGCCCCAGTGGCACCGCCCGCATGCGTCACCCCCATCCAGCAGAACGTTTCGTTGCCTCATGGGGAACTCCACCGAAGGCGCCAGGGGCACCGCCCGCATGCGTCAC